ACGACGACTAGCTCTAGTGGCCACGACGATCTCAAGCACAATCACCACCACCACCACCATCTGCAAAAGATCTCCGCTGTCCTCATTCACACTCTCCAGCTCATCTGCCTCCTCAGCTCCTCAACGCTCACTTTGCTCATCGGCAACTTCGCAGTTGCAGCAGCAGCAACAACAACAGCGACAACAAGAGAAGAAGACAGCCATGGCCGACAGTGGAGACGGCAAGGGTGTCTCGGCCCCATCCTCCGACCTGGAGACGCAGATCCAGCGTCAGGGTGATCTAGTCCGCAGTCTGAAGAGTCAGAAGGCCGATAAGGGCAAGGTAAGTCGCCGCTGGTCGCTGGTCACTGGACCATAACGCAGTGCAATGCCCACCGTTTGTTGCATCATCCTCCTAATCATCACATTTACCTCTACCACAGATCAAGGAAGAGGTGGACAAGCTGTTGGCGCTCAANAGTCTGAAGAGTCAGAAGGCCGATAAGGGCAAGGTAAGTCGCCGCTGGTCGCTGGTCACTGGACCATAACGCAGTGCAATGCCCACCGTTTGTTGCATCATCCTCCTAATCATCACATTTACCTCTACCACAGATCAAGGAAGAGGTGGACAAGCTGTTGGCGCTCAAGGCACAACTCGGCCCCAGTGATGCGGCCACAGGGAACAAGGAGAACAAGCCTGGAGGGACCAGAGATTCAGTGTCCTCTTCCTCGAGCAAACAACAGCAGCAGCAGCAAAAGTTCACGCTGAAGACGCCGAAGGGAATGCGGGACAACGACCCGGCGGCGATGGTGGTCCGCGAGGAGGTCTTCCAGCGCATCACCGACTGCTTCAAGCGCCACGGAGGCNGACCAGAGATTCAGTGTCCTCTTCCTCGAGCAAACAACAGCAGCAGCAGCAAAAGTTCACGCTGAAGACGCCGAAGGGAATGCGGGACAATGACCCGGCGGCAATGGTGGTCCGCGAGGAGGTCTTCCAGCGCATCACCGACTGCTTCAAGCGCCACGGAGGGATGGCCATCGACACGCCCGTCTGCGAGCTGAAGGAGACGCTGACGGGCAAGTACGGCGAAGATGCGAAGCTGATCTACGACCTGGCGGACCAGGGCGGGGAGCTGCTGGCGCTGCGCTACGACCTGACGGTGCCCTTTGCCCGCTACCTGGCGCAGAACAAGATCAACAGCATGAAGCGGTACCAGATCGCCAAGGTCTACCGCCGGGACAATCCCTCCATCACCAAGGGACGCTACCGGGAGTTCTACCAGTGTGTAAGTGATAATGTTAAGTGGGATTCCTCTCAGATTAGCTAATCTCTCTTCATACAGGACTTTGACATTGCCGGTCAGTACGACTCGATGATAGCGGACGTGGAGTGTCTGCGCATCGTCTACGAGATACTGCACAGTCTGAAGCTGACGTCCTTTGTGATCAAGGTCAACCACCGCTGCATCCTCGACGGCATCTTCGAGGTGTGCGGCGTGCCCGCCAAGGACTTTCGGCCCATCTGCTCGGCGGTGGACAAGCTCGACAAGGTATGTTTAGTGTTGTCTTATTGTTTACATACACCAACCAACAATCCGCCCCTACTCCCCTTACAGAGCACCTGGGAGGAGGTCAAGACGGAGATGGTGGAGGAGAAGGGCCTGTCGGTGGAGGCGGCGGACCGCATCGGCGAGTTTGTCCGCCTGAACGGCGGCGCCGAGCTGGTGGCGACGCTGGAGGCGGGGGCGCTGGCGGGCAGCAAGCGGGCGGCGGAGGGGCTGCAGGCGATGCGACTGCTGCTCACCTACGCCGACCTCTACCAGCTGACGCCGGTGGTCTCCTTCGACCTGAGCCTCGCCCGCGGCCTCGACTACTACACCGGACTCATCTACGAGGTGGTGCTCACCGAGGAGGGCGTCGAGTGCGGCAGCATCGCCGCCGG